AATATTGCGTTACTCCATAAAAAAGTAACTAATTACGTTACTTAGTTACTTTTTATGGAAAGTAATGCGTTACGTTACTTTTGCGTTACTTTTTATATCTGGACAGGGCTTGCTTGTTTGTTTTTAAAATAAAAAAGTTATATTTTTGGCAAATATAAAAGCCTTTTCACACCAAAAGTGAAATGAATAAGCCTCAGGCTGAAGGGAAAGTAAATTTAGGTCCGTACAGTAGAATGCAGAAGAAGAAATTTCAACACACTTCAGCAATAAAAAAAGACACACAAATGTTCGTCTAGAGTAATTTTTGCTTATTAGTACGGTTGAACTGGATCATCGAAGGTCAGAAGCAAAGACATTGGTTAATAGAATGGGAATAAATACATAAATACATAAAGCATATTTGTGTTGTTTAACATTTAATTATTGCAGGTTTGCGTCATATTCTGAGTTGCATTATTTTTATTCATTTTGAGGAATACTGAATCTGTGTGTTTTTGTTTTTTGTGAGTGAGATGAATTAATGCATATTCATATTTATTATAGAACTACAGTGACATCTGATTTCTCTCGACATGGGGACAGGAGAGCTGTCAATCAATAAATTGAAAAAAAAAGTAACTTGCGTTACTTATTTGAAAAAGTAACTCAGATATTCTCTTGTAAATTAAAAAGTATTAATGCGTTACTTTACTAGTTACTTGAAAAAAGTAATCTGATTACGTAACTTGCGTTACTTGTAATATATTACCCCCCAACACTGGTAATAACAGTATGTAACCAGTAGCAATATACAGTTGATACGCACTGTGCCTTCCACTATTTTAAATAGTGTATGAAAAAAGTAAACATTTTGACAGGATAAGCGTTTTAAACTGTATTAGGCTATGCCACACTGTTTTCATCTAAACCATCTAAATCATATTGCATGTGTAATTCAGTTAGTGTTGTTATCATCTTGGAAATAAAAATATTGCTTGGTTCATTCGTCACACACACATGCTCTAACAGCTATTTGACTATAATCTTCAAACAAATCTATTCAAGATAACGTAAAGTTTGACTAATGGAGTATTAAGGCAAACCAGGAAGACAAAACTGTAGCCTATAGTTACTGTAAGTGCATTGCATTGTGGTAAAGTGTTCCATGCAGTAACCAGGATTTTTTTTTGACAAATGTAGCAGGTTAAGTACTGTACATGTGCACGTTATACTTTATACTGTATTATAGTAAATGTGAACCTGAGCGTCCCTTACATGTGCAGCTACATCCTGCCCTTTAGAATCAGATCAAAGATATTTTTCGATAATGACATTTATAGTTATATGCAAATTGTGAGGTTTCTCTGTTCTCATTATTTATGGTCTTACAGGCCTGCAGGTGCTCTGGAGTTTAATGGTGTTCAAAAACAACAAAAAAAGGTGGGGGGCATAGAAGAACCATGCATTCTGACATACATACATAAATAATTAAATAAACAATAAGAACCTTTTTCCACTATAAGAACTTTTTGTCTAAAGATTTAATTGATGGCAAAGGCTCTTCCTGGAAACACAGATGCCAATACAGCTTCTAAATAATTTTATTTTTATGAGTGTAAGTTCGAATAATTCAATGAACACTATTTATTTGAATATTTTAGCTGCATCATTTTAAAACGTTTTAATATTTGTTTGAGTATTTGTAGTGCAAATTTAACATTAGTATTAGCCTATAAATTAATTTTTCTATCTCACTTAGAGAATTTGTCATTAAACTAACATTAATTTTGTAGGAATGATGAAAACATTATGATTTTTCCCCATATGTAAAATAACTCAGAATATCAGTGTCCATTTCCCCGTTAGGATGAAGTGATTGGCTGAACTCTGATCCTCCCTCTTTCAGAGTTTCTCTTCTCTATATGAATATCTCACTCTCTCTCATTCTCTTCATCTCTCCTCTAAACTTAATCTGCTCATCACAGTCAAGATGCTGATAATATTCTACTGTGTTATTCTCTCTCTTCTGTCATGTAAGTTACACATTTCACTCTAAACATGTTGTTCTCTCGGGGATGTCAAGGTTGATGAAATTAATTTTAATCATTTTAGGTGTCAGATGTGTGAAAGTGGTCACACAGAAACCTCCAATACTGACAGAACAAAAAGGGAGATCTGTGACTATGGACTGTAACATTGAAAAGGCAGAGAGTTATTATGTCAGCTGGTATAAACAGATTCCAAACGCAGCTCCTCAGTTTGTGTTGAGATACTATCATTCTCACAGCTCCCCTGATAAATATGGAGATGGTTTTACCTCTAGCCGCTTCACATCTAAAGCTCAGTCAGATATTGACTATCAGCTGATCATCAGTAATGTGGATGTGGATGATTCTGCAGTGTATTACTGTAAGACATATGACAGCTCTGTTAGTGAGTACGTATCACAGTGATTCACAGCATGACAAAAACCTCCTCACCGCTCACATTCACTTCTGCTTCTAGACAACAGATGACAAGAGCACTACTTCACATCTTAGATTCATGATAAATTAAAAACTAATCACAGATACTAATCTGTCCTGTAATTTAACATTTGTAATTTAACATGTGCTCCTCACACTCTCAGAAAAAAAAGGTACAAAAGTTGTTACTGGGGCGGTACCTTTTCAAAAGGCACACCCTATGTACCAAAATAGTCCATAATGGTACCTTAAAGGTACATATTAGCACCTAAAGTGTACATATTAGTACCTAAAAGGTACAAAAGTGTAACTTTTGAAAAGGTACCGCCCCAGTGACAGCTGTTGTACCTTTTTTTCTGAGAGTGCAGAAGACAGAAAGTCCCGAGGGTTTGTAAGGAACGTTTCCTTTAGCGTCAGTCATCAGTAGACCCATGTGTTCATGTTCAGAGTGACTTTATGTGCTTCATTCACTGTGATTCACTACAGCAGGATTCTCCACAGTCACCGACACCTGCAGATAACAACAGCCACATATGAGATTGTGTTTCAAAGCACTTTAATACACAGCACAGCAGTCAAACACAACTAACATGGAGACTAAAACAGAGTGATTGTGTTTGAATCTGAATCATTTCTCCATGAATTAAACGTGTAAAGCACACAGTCAGCTGAGCTCGAGTGAGTGTTTCACTTCTGTTTGTGTCTCTTCACAGACTGAGGAGGTTTTTGTACGGCTGAACATATGAAATGTATCACTGTGGTATTCGGACAAGGAACAAAACTCACTGTGAATGGTAAGTGATCTTTTCACTGTTATTACATTTATTTCTTACTGTATTACATGTAGTCTACTCAGTGTAGATATAGAAACTCATAATTTTTTTGTTAACCTTTTTATTTATTTACAGTTAAATGTGTGAATTCAGTCTCAGACAGTTTTATACAGAGCCTCCAGTAACCAGTCGTTCAGTTCAGCTTTAACTTTTATCTGTTTCATATTAGTTGTATGTTATATTCAGCTATTAGGAGTAGTATTGAACAGACTGTTCTCCTGATTTAGGGAGCATCAGCTTTGTGTTTAATTTAAGAAATTTGTAAAAAGTATTTTTTGAAATTATTTATGTACATTATTTTTGAAACAGCACATGAGAAACTGACCTGCAGTATGACATGCTGTAATACACCTAAAACTGTGTTTTGTTAATTCTGTTATAATTATTAAGCATGCAGCTTTTATGAATTAATTGACTGCAGGATCATTGAAAACGAGCTGGTGAAGACACAAAGATAAATAAAACTAGCATAAAAGTCTCAGCACTTAAAATATACACAGTGCCATGTATATTCATGTACATTTTAACCTAAAACAAAAATTGAAAATTGACTATTTAAATTGATAATCAATAACAAAACGACAATTAACTGATTTCTGTATTTGAACAAATAATTGTTACTTAATTAATTATTAAACGATGCAAAAAAAGAGTAATTGTTTATTTGTTGATATGTGAAATATTAGAGATGTAGAAAGTTTGAAATGCAGTCAGACTGTAATATTTGAGTTGTCTGGCGGAGATGAAGGTCTGTCTGCAGATGTTGATGATGATTTGTGTTTAGATGCTGCTGCTGCTGCTCCTGTGCTGAACATCCTCCGTGCGTCCAGAGAAGAGCTGAGCTCCAGTAAAGTCACTCTGGTGTGTCTGATCAATCACATGTCTGGGGCTTTTGCTGATGTGCGTTGGCTTGTGAATGGGAACTCAGTTACTGAAGGCGTCTTCACTGGATCTGCTGAACAGCAGCCTGATAAGAAGTTCAAGATGAGCAGTTATTTAAGCATTGAGAGCTCAGAGTGGGACAAAGACACACAGCTGATATGTGAAGCGACTGCTGCCTCAAAAACCACCAGCAAAAGCATCAAGAAATCTGACTGCAGCGACTGAACTGCTTGATCTCCTCTTGATTTATATGAGTAATTCAGTTTGTTTGCATAGAGTAGAAGAAAATATGGATAGAAACGATTAAAAATAAAGAAAGTATTGGTTGCTTCATTTTCTGAATGTCATTTTATGTTTGAATGTACATTATTGTGCTTTATAAACTCAAATAAACTGCATGTTAATCAAACTTTTCCGATTACTTTGTGTCCTCATGTATGCACAAAAGTTTATTTTAGTTGATTATTTTAGCATCAGTTTATTACGTCTATTTTGAAGTACTATTAAAAACAAACCATGTTTGCAATTACCGAACAATTTTAATTATATGGTTTAATTTATTAACAAATAGAAATCAATTAAATATTAATAACAATCGATAAAACATTCTATTGAACACTAGAAACATGAAAGTCAAAGTCATTTGCTAATTCCACGGGACAAATGTTATTTTGAAATGATCATAATATATTAATGCTATTAATTTGAGAGTTTTTTTTAATGTGTCCTTTGAATAGATCTAAAAACGGAAGTGTTGGAGTTTATCTTCTGTCAGAGGCAGTGATCTGTGGAGATTTTCTTCAGTCCTGCTGACACACAGGAAACACCTGCTGTTCGAATCAGCTTTCTGTCAATATTTGATTATATTCATATAAAATACAGTATCTAATGTGACAGAGTCTGCAGGCGGAAAGCAGAAGTGAATGTGAGCAGTGAGGAGGTTTTTGTCATGCTGTGAATCACTGTGATACGTACTCACTAACAGAGCTGTCCCATGTCTTACAGTAATACACTGCAGAATCATCCACATCCACATTACTGATGATCAGACTATAATCTGATTTAGTTTTGTGATTTGAGTTGAATTTAGGAGAGGAGTAGCCGGATCCATAAGTAGGAGAAGTGTTTGAATGGTGGAAATATAAGACAAACTGTGGAACTCCTCCATGAATCTGTTTATACCATCGAGCAGCACTATTAGTGATGGTGGCCAGATTACAGTCCAGTGTGGCCATCTGTCCTTTACTCAGCGTGAGGACTGGAGGATTCTGGGTCACCACAACTGCACCACTGACACCTGAAAAAGACAGAAACTATTAAAATGAGCTGAAACACATGCTTTAAAAGAAGCTTCTGAAGATCTGAGGATCATACATGTGCAAGCAGTGATGAGAAGGCAGAGTTTTATCAGCATGTTTCTCTGTGTGAGTAGATCTGCTCTCAGTGTTTTTTGAAGTGCTGTACAGAGAGGAGAGACAGAGATTATTTAAGAGAGGTTTGTGGGAGGAGCCTCTGACAGCCAATCACTGTTGGTCTCATATTCTGGAAAAAAAACAAAACATAATTAGCCACTTACAGGGCTGACAAAACCAAAGAGCAATAGAGGGTAAAATTAATGTTACTACGCCCATTAATTCCATATTTTATCTTTTTGATTTGATGTATATGTGTTGTTCTTGTGATGGTTGTTATGTACAAATAAAATAAAATCAAGTAAAGCAAACTTCACCATCGGTTTACTCAATATTAGAGCAATTTATTATTTTTGATGAAAACAAAACTTAGCCTTTTCTGTCAGTTCTTTCATCATTAAACACTGACCATCATATAAAAGACTGAATTGCATATTTGATGTACATTTTGTGTTTTATTGGTGATTTTGTTTTCACCCCAAAATGAAAACTTACTGAATATATACTATATATTATATGACTATGTCTATTATTGACCCTCAGGCCATCCAAGATGTAGATGAGTTTGTTTCTTCATCAAAAAAGATTTGGAGAAATTAGCATTTCATCACTTGCTAATCACTGGATGCTCTGCAGTGAATGGGTGCCATCAGAGTGAGAGTCCAAACAGCTGATAAACACATCACAATAATCTACACACCTCCAATCCATTATTTCATGTTTTGTGAAGCAAAAATCTGCATGTTTGTAAGAAACAAATCCATTAAGACATTTAACTTCAAACCTTTGCTTCTGGCTAAAATACGAGTCCTCTATTCATAATATTGCTTTCTCCAGTCAAAAAGTCATCTTTGTCTGAATCAGGTGACAAATATGCCATTTACAAGCAAAAACAGTCCAAAACAGTTCTAAACATACAACCCGAATTCCGGAAATGTTGGGACGTTTTTTTTTTTTACAAATTTGAATAATGAAAAATAAAAGAATTTCAAATCACATGAGCCAATATTTTATTCACAATAGAACATAGACAACATAACAAATGTTTAAACTGAGAAATTTTACAATTTTATGCACAAAATTAGCTAATTTCAAATTTGATGCCTGCTACAGGTCTCAAAATAGTTGGGACGGGGGCATGTTTACCATGGTGTAGCATCTCCTCTTCTTTTCAAAACAGTTTGAAGACGTCTGGGCATCGAGGTTATGAGTTTCTGGAGTTTTGGTGTTGGAATTTGGTCCCATTCTTGCCTGATATAGGTTTCCAGCTGCTGAAGAGTTTGTGGTCGTCTGTGACGTATTTTTTTCGTTTAATGATGCACCAAATGTTCTCTATAGGTGAAAGATCTGGATTGCAGGCAGGCAAATTCAACACCCGGACTCTTCTACTACGAAGCCATGCTGTTGTAATAGCTGCAGTATGTGGTTTTGCATAGTCCTGCTGAAATAGACAAGGCCTTCCCTGAAATAGACGTCCTCTGGAGGGGAGCATATGTTGCTCTAAAACCTTTATATACCTTTCAGCATTCACAGTGCCTTCCAAAACATGCAAGCTGCCCATACCGTATGCACTTATGCACCCCCATACCATCAGAGATACTAGCTTTTGAACTGAACGCTGGTAACACGCTGGAAGGTCTCCCTTCTCTTTAGCCCGGAGGACACGGCATCCGTGATTTCCAACAAGAATGTCAAATTTGGACTCGTCTGATAGAACACTTTTCCACTTTGAAACAGCCCATTTTAAATGAGCCTTGGCCCACAGGACACGACGGCGCTTCTGGACCATGTTCACATATGGCTTCCTTTTTGCATGATAGAGCTTTAGTTGGCATCTGCAGATGGCACGGAGGATTGTGTTTACCGACAGTGGTTTCTGGAAGTATTCCATGGGCCTATTTAGTAATGTCAATGTCAGAATCATGCCGATGAGTGATGCAGTGTTATGCACTGTAGATTATGAGATTTGCAAAGCCTTTGCAATTTGACGTTGAGGAACGTTGTTTTTAAAGTATTCCACAATCGTTTTACGCACTCTTTCACAGATTGGAGAGCCTCTACCCATCTTTACATCTGAGAGACTCTGCCTCTCTAAGACATCCCTTTTATAGCTAATCATGTTACAGACCTGATGTCAATTAACTTAATTAGTTGCTAGATGTTCTCCCAGCTGAATCTTTTCAAAATTTCTTGCTTTTTCTGCCCTTTGTTGCCCCCGTGCCAACTTTTTTGAGACCTGTAGCAGGCATCAAATTTGAAATTAGCTCATTTTGTGGATAAAAGTGTAAAATTTATCCGTTTAAACATTTGTTATGTTCTCTATGTTCTATTGTGAATAAAATATTGGCTCATGTGATTTGAAAGTCTTTTAGTTTACATTTTATTCAAATTTTTAAAAAGTCCTAACATTTCTGGAATTCGGGTTGTATTTAGGTGTTTGTCACAATATTAAATTATGAATACCATTAATAATACCAGTTACATTTCACTTAGTACTACTGATACTGTAGAAAGACCGATATTATTACATTATATTTTTTTTAGTATTGTCTTGCGATCTCCCTATAGGCAACTCTGACGTGACCATGATTTAAAAAACGTCCCAACATTTCCGGAATTCGGGTTGTATATCTCAGAGGATGGAGGATGGACTTTTGTACTGGAGGAAGCATTATTATGGTTTATGTTGTGTGGATTACTTGTGGATTATTGTGATGTTTCTATCAGCTGTTTGGACTCTGAATGTGACGGCACCCATTCACTGCAGAGGATCCACTGGTGAGCAAGTGACGTAATGCGAAATTTCTCCAAATCTGTTCTGATGAATGAACAAACTCATCTTTATTAATATTTTTAGAGATTTTCAGATGAATATTTTTTCCTCTGTGTTGAAGTGAGTGTGTCAGATGTGTTGAGTGTGTGTTGTGTGAGGTGGGCAGGTCTTTCTCTTTACTGTCTTAAAGTCTCTCTCTGATCTGATCTCAGCATTATTCTATAGCACTGCTCATCTTCACACATCAACACCAAATCACAAGATGATCACAATATTCTGCGCTTTCTTCACTCTTCTGACCTGTAAGTGTTCATCAGATCTGATGATTTAAAGTGATTTGACACTCAATATCATGTAAGGGCTGTGTTTATTCTGCAGGTGTCAGTGGAGTGACTGTATTGACTCAGAGTCCATTAATCACAGTCAGTAAAGGAGAAACAGCTCAACTGGACTGACAGTAACTGATCATGTTGCTGGATGGTACAAAAAGACTCCAGCAGGAGTTCCTCAGTTTGTGTTAATGCTTGGTTATAGCTGGAGCTCACCTACATATGGATCTGGTTTCTCTGCTCCTAAATTCACATCAACACATTCATCTAAATCAGATTATAGTCTGATCATCAGTAATGTGGATGTGGATGATTCTGCAGTGTATTATTGTAAGACATGGGACAGCTCTGTTAGTGAGTACATGTTCGGCCAAGGAACAAAACTCAATGTGATCGGTAAGTTTTACTCTTGATTATTGTTCAGACACATTATTTATTTTTATTTGTTTTAATGTATTATTATTGGACTATTAAAACACAAATTACAATATTTTTGCTCAACTTTTTAGATTTTTTTCAAGTTAATATATATACACTGTATAGGCCTATATTTAAAATTAATCTTCAAAATAACATTCCAAAATCGTACTTGATGGGAATCATTCTGAAGTTTGTGTAGATGTTTTTAAAGGCTTATTATTTACTCACCCTCATATGTAGGTATAATGTTCCTTTATTTGTTAATATAGGCCTTGTCATTTTCTGGTTAGTGACAAAATAAGGATATGTTCAGTATTAAAGTCTATATAATTTAGTATTCAATTTACATTTATCATTTAAATTATCCTTTTACATACCAAGTGATACATATATAATATTATATTGCCTGTTCATAAATACACTGTTTACTGTTGACTGTTTTCTCCAGACTTCCCTCTCACTCCTCCTGTTCTGACTATCTTGTCTCCGTCCACTGAGGCTCTGAAGGAGAGTAAAGCTACACTCGTGTGTCTGGCTGAGGATATTTCAGTAGCTCTGTGGTGCACGTCACCTGGTCAGTCAATGGTCGCTCCGTTACAGATGGAGTTTGGAGCAGTCCTACTGAGAAACAGCAAGACAAAACCTTCAAAATGAGCAGCTATCTGACCATTGAGTCGTCTGACTGGATGGATAATGCAGATTTCTCATGTGAAGTGTCAGTGGGTTCAAAATTCACTAAGAAAAGTATCTCAGTTTCACAGTGTTGAAAAATGTTCTGAATGAAAATGTCGGATGTTTTGTCTTTATTTCTGTTCATATGTGAACTGTGTGACTTCAGTAGCTACATCATATCTGACAATGATTATGTACTTCAATTTTTGGTTTTGGTTCTGCAATTAAAAATCTTTGGCATGACATTTGTTTGCATTTTCTTTCATGCAGCACGTTCATGACTCTCACTCAGGATACACCTGCACCATGTGCCTCATATTTTGTAGCTTTATGTAAATCAGTTCCCCTGAGCTCAGATCATAATGGAAACACACAAACGTAGAAATCACCAGCTGCACATGACAGAGAATAGGTTATATACTCACAGAACCCCAAGTTTCATTATTAGGCTAATATGAAAATGTGATTTTCAATCAATGCTGTTATTTTAATCACATTTCCCTTTGCACTATTGCCTAATCTTTCTGTAATTTACAGTTCAGACCATCTATTAACACAATAAACTACATATAGATACATTTTGGGAATAGTGAGATTTGGGCTGATTTTTCAGATTGTTGACAGTAGCATTTTAGTTAAGGTGCACTCAGTGTAGGTCTACTTTGTTTCAAACTTTCATCTGGTAGATCTTTCACAATGGCGGGCGCATTGACGCATAATGAGAACGCTGTTAAATCTATGTGTGTAGGCTATTAATATGAGAGCTAGTTAGTTATTATGAGAGAGTAGTCAGGTTAATTATTCTTTTAATAAAAAGCGCTACATATATATGTTTGAATCACACATATAAAGTAAAATGTATCAAATTTCCTTCCACCAAAGGCAGAACTAATCCAGAAACCACGCTTACAAGAGATTGAGGGATTTCACTCATCCTGCATCTACAAGACGGCTGGCATTGACATAAGTCTGTAATAAATGTGGGACTGGAGAATGTTTTACAGGAGTCTTTTTCTGCCAGAGGCACTGAAACTTCAGTCCAGAAGATGGCGTCCTTACCTCACTGTGGTACGCCTTGAAAAACTCACTAGCAGGAAAAGTTCATTTTCGAATTGATAAATATGCAGTAATTAATTTTTAAATAAATGAATAAATAAATTTAAAAGAAAATGTGTGGTAATGCTCTGGGTTCAAGAACAAGTATGTGACATGCCGTCGATCACCACAGAAAATTGCCTCGTTCCTCAATAGTGTTATTTACTTGGATTTACTCCATTTTAAACAACCTTGTCTTTTCATGAATACTTATTACACTGTATATTTGATCAAATAAATGCAGCATTGGTGAATCCTTTTCAAAACAAACCAACGTTTGAACAATAATGTGTCTTTTGTCTGTGACAATTTCCTGTTTCATGGTTTTGTCATAGGAGAAAGTGACTGTTTAATACTGATTCGCTGCATTCTTTTTTTTTAAAGAAGTAGCCTACTAATTAAAGATTTTGTCAGGTTTTTTTTTTTTACTTTCTAAAATTTCAGACTTTTTTTTTTTTACTCAGAACTTCCCTGTTGAAAAAAAAAACAGCATATGCTGGTTAGGTATGTTTTGGTTTGAGCTGGTTTAAGCTGGTCCTTAGCTGGTCATGTGCTGGTCCTAAGATGGTCCTAAGCAACTAGCTCCTGCTTAGGACCAGCACATGACCAGCTTAAACCAGCTCATGACCAGCTAAGGATCAGCTCAAACCAGCAGCCATGCTTCAAAACACACCTAACCAGCATATGCTGGATTTTTCAACAGGGCTTCCTTTAAAAATCAGTTATCAGCATATGAATAAGGTTCACAATAACACAGTGAGTCTTGTCAGAACAGAAGCAGCACTGCTAGTTCAGTCCATATCCTACTCTGTTGACATAAGCCCTATGATATATGATATAAATGCACAAAAAATGTCCGTGTTCAAGAGGAGCAGCGTCCTTCATGTATTTTCAGCAGTATTCTCTGTCCCAGTTGTCCAGTATTGTGGGGTTGAAGCAGGATGGTTCGCTGTTATTTACATACAGGGCAGCGTGTTGGTATGCTTGCTCTTGCGCTGAAGTGATGTACCATAAGTCTTCTGGCACGTCCAGCTCCAAGATATTCTGCTTGATGCGCTGATTCTTCTCAATGGTCCTCCGCTTGAACTTAAACTCAATGATGGTTTTGGTGTAATGGTTTAGAGCCGTGACTGCCGAGCCCATGCAGGTGCCAAACGAGCCCCATGCCAGACTGACAGAAAGAGTCGAGGAGCATGATAAATGATCATATGTACCATTATTACCATGCATTAAAATAAATAAAATAATATTTAATTTAAACTTTTTAATTTAAAATGTTTTAAACATTATCGAGATATGTACAACATTTATAAGGGATAGTGCATATTTTTGGTGCTGTCACTGTTTCTTGGAGTTTTTCATCATTTTAACCATTTATTTATTTATTTAATCAATCATTTATTTATTTATTTGTGCAGTGGTTACTATTTTTCATAGAGTGATGTTTGATGAATTGCATTAAAACCAATCAGTTTGGTCTGCAAACATCATAATATATATGAATTGTAATAATAGTATATGGAACCCACAATATGTAAAAAAAACATGGCTTTTTATTTGTAATGTGTCATATGTTAAACTCACAGATAGGACCAGCTGTAGTCCCATGTCTTAGGTCTCCAGTCTTCTGGACCCATCTGGACAGCCAGCTGGAAAGCTGTGGTGAACATCATATGTGCAACCATCCCGAAAAGGCCTGGGGCACAGAAAAATTACAGAGCATGTGTTGTCATTTTTGCCTTGATCCTCAAGATGTCGGTATACATTTCAGTGTAATGTCTATATAAAGAATAAATTCTGTCCAGTTGCAGAACCAACTGAAAAGCGCACAGTAACACTTAGTGCCTTTTTAATGGGACAGATTAGCTATGTTGATTATAGGTTGAAACCCATTAAACGTTAAGCGAAACATCAAAAGTGAATATTTCAGAAGACCCCCAACACTGCTGCCATGCACATATGCATCATACGGCAGGTGCTGCTGTGCATCTAGTGTGTTGGTGAGCATTCCTATCATCAGGATTAGTGCAAATATAGGGGAGGGAGGATGGTCTCTGCTGGCCATGTCACGTACCAAAACCACTAACCCCCACACCAATCCGATTACAGCACAAACCACCAAATCCCCATGCTGTTGGGACAGATCGCTCATTCAGACCAGAGCAGACAGGCAGCTTCCTGTCCAGAACAACCTCTCACCCACTCCTGCATACATTCACTGCAAAACATCTTTCTCTTAATCATGTTTCCTTTTTTTCCTCTTGTTTTTCAGTAAAAATATTGAAATATTTGCTTTACACAGAATTGTGTAATGTATTAAGACCTTACTTTCCAGAGAATATTTATGCTTAAATTAAGATTATTTTTGTTTCAATTAAAATTCAGGACATCGATACAAAAATTGTACAGTGATTTCGGTCACAGTGTAGTTAAGGTCCAGTTCTCGCTATTAACAAACCATTGACTATGACTTTTGCCTTAATAAACTCTTAATTTGCTGCTTATTAATAGTTAGTAAGGTAGTTGTTAAGTTTATGTGTTGGGTAGGATTAGGGATGTAGAATATGGTCATGCAGAATATGTGCTTTATAAGTACTAATAAACAGCCAATAAGCAACTAGTTAATAGTGAGAATTGGTCCCTATACTAAAGTGTTACCGTGATTTTTAAAACATTTTGCACATTTTTTTCCCCTCTACATTTTTCTGTATACTCAAACTGACAAAAAATGTTTAGCATGCAGTGTCAATGTTGGCCATTAGTGGGCGCAACGATTTTTTGATGCATTAATTTGTTGTTGTAAGCAGCCCTGAAGTGCATGATTCCATTCTGCTGACATCAAACAAGCAAATAAATATATAAATGAATTTTTTATCCATTTAAATGCACAATAAAGAAATAAAAAATCTTGCAGAACATAGTCTCAGGAAGGCAGTTTTTCCACCTTGTCCTTCAGGGCTAGTGCGACACTGCTCCGCTGATCTCTGTGGCATCGCTGACCCATCATTGCTCTCTGTAAAGTGTTGGGAACATGTGGAGTTGGATTTGTGCTGTATAATCTCATCTCTGTTTCACAGCTGGGGCTGACTGGCAGGAGTTGAACTAGCAGGATTTTTAGCTTTTCTGGCAAATGAGCATTCAAGAGGGACTAAAGTTCCTCTGTCTGTATGTGCCGAAAATGTGAAAGCAAGAAGGATAAATGGACATTTGTTGCTTTTCTAGGGAACACAGTATAATTACTGCACTTACTCTGCAGTAATTATAGGAAAACATAATTTTCAGAATTGTGTACAGACTCTAAGAAAATTCCATAAATATAGGGCCTAATGTGCTGGGTTATCATGAAGTTATTCTGTTTTGAATTTTTTTAGGGTTAAAGGAAATGTCCATAAACTTGCAGTTGTGTTTTAGTTAAAGGGTCACATCATGGAAAACAGGATGCTAATTGTTCTTTCACAACACTTTGGATGTACAGTGTAGGCTGCAAAGCCTATGACGTGTTACCTATCAGTGCATTAAAGTAATAGTTCCCCTAAACATGACAATTCTGTCATCATTTACTCACCCTCAAGCAATATTTAAGGATCTAGGGATGATTTAAGAATCTACTGTCTCAGGATGCTTAGTCGAGTAATAAAGAGCATGTACAAGTTGACAAAATAAACTTTATAGTATATACAGTGGTGGCCAAAATGGTCAGAACACTTGCCATATTTATGAGGTTTCCTTTGTTTTTGTTGAATTGGCCATTACAATACCCATAAAACTAATTTGCTGAAATATTGCCGGAACTATGGAAGGATGGAAGGAACCTGCTGGAACATTAAAAATGATGGACTGGCCCCCTCAAAGTTCAGACCTCAACCCCAGCAAACAAAGTTGGAAAATAAACTGGACAGATCTATTGTACATTCAAAGGAAAGCCTTTGGCTTGAGTTGCAGAAGGCATGGGATTACATTAGTGTTGAAGTTCTTGGGGAATATATTGACACTATGCCAGAGTGATGTGCTGATGTAATTGCTGCAAAAGGTGGACATACCAAATATTACAGTTAAAAGTGGATAAAAACAGTACGGCTCACTTCATCTGATATTTGTTGTGCTCAGAGCAACCATCTGCATGTTTCATGAACATTATGAAATGAAATCATGCTTTGGAGGCAAAAAAGGCCAATGTTTTCAGATCTGTCAGGTGTTGTAACAATTTTGGCCACCACTGTATATATATATATTTATTCAACAGTTTCTTCTCTTCCGTGTCAGTCTTCGACTCGCATTCACGAGAATACCACAACGCATGCATGTGCATTCCTCACACCGAAGAGAAAAAAATTGTTGAATAAAGTTGTTAATTTTGATTTCTTTGCTCACAAAAAGTATTCTCGTAGCTTCATAACATTACGGTTAAACCACTGATGTCACATGGACCATTTTAATGATGTCCTTACTACCTTTCTGGGCCTTGAACGTGGTAGTTATGGTGCGTTCAAGTTATGTCGGATAGATCGTATTTACGAGTTGAACGCACATGAACACCACCACAAAGTCGTTATTATGAGTGGGAAACTCGAAATTTTCTTTAAGCCCCGAGTTTCTGAGTTGGGGGCGTCAATGAGAAACATGGCAGAATCAATGGATGCAATGTCTGTAGTTGACGGTAAATTTTTGTTTAAATTGATAGTTTAGTTGTCCTATAAACTTAAGTTGTTCTTGTTACACAGCTAGTTAATGAAATCCAAGTAAAAAAATGCTATAATTTTTGCACCTATAGGTGAAAAATCTTTTGATTTGCCATGTTGCATGTTGCATTTAGCTAACAGCTTTTTTTAATCTCTGTATTTTAGGATTTGTTGATGCTGAAAATCAGTTATACTGGGAACCTGGTCTAAAAAAAAAATTAAAAACGCAAAACACAGCTGATGCGAATTCTTTGCTCTTCATTTTCTATAAGCAGAGTTAACAGACCCTGTTGTATTTTCTTGTAATTTATTAAAAGAAGGTACACCACCATCTTGTGCCGACTAAACTGACTTGAACGCACCTGACGTCGTATTTACGACTTGTCAACTCGTAAGTACGAATGTCCCAGGAGGACTTGAACGCAGCATTCCATTGCTGTCTATGGAGGGTCAAAAAAACAAAAAACAAAAAAAAACTTGGTTTTCATCAAAAATTTCTTAATTTGTGTTCTGATGATGAACGAAGGTCTTATGGGTTTGGAACGACATGAGGGTGAGTAATTGATGACAATTTTCATTTTTGGGTGAACTATCTCTTTAAACTAAAGGCAAAACTGTTTATTTAAAACTAAGCCCTTCAATATGTCCCATCCCAAAATAGCTCATCGTTTTTTTAATTTATAGAAATGAGTTACCTGAGAGAGCGGTGCACAGTGCTGCAAAGGCATTGAGCTTGAGTCTGTTTATCAAGTTCAAGCATGGACACATCTCTATCACCATCAGAGCTCCACCGGTGAACAGCAGAGCAATGTACAGACACTCAGCCACAATACACAGCCAGAGCACTCCTGAGAAAGAGACAGAGAGAGAGAGAGAGCTGATATATCTTGATTATCATCCGAGACACTGATGTCCTGTTGCTTTTACATTAGCATTGACCTTTATACATCATTTCAACTTTATTTACATTCCATCTGTATATATTAACATAAACATATGCTTTCATAACAAGGTGACTGCTACAAAGCATAAAATGCCAGCAGGAATACAGAGCAGAGCTAATACAATATCTGTTATTAATTTTTTAAAGTTTATCAGATGTAAATATTAAACAAGCTACCGTAGTAATAGTTTCTTCAATATACGATTAGCATACATTCATGTTTACCTCCTCTATTATTGACTTTTTAGATAATAGATATTTATAATGGCAATTAAATGATGTGCTTTTTTCTTGCTTAACTTATTTTCTAGGACACTTTCATACAAAGATAATGTTACAAAGATAATTTAATGCACCTTTAGGCTTCAGTTGCTAACTCTTAACGCCCTCACAAGTATCCATGTTCACACGCACTCTTGAAAAATGACCTTGTGTACAGTGGTGTGTTTAGAGGATTTGGGGGCCCTACGCAAGTGGACAATTGGGGCCCTCACCTCAGTTGAAATAGCTTTCTTTTTGGGGGCCTCCTGGCACGTGGGGCCCCACGCAATTGCGTGGTGCCTAAACATGCTACTGCTTGTGTAGGAAGTGTTTGGGTGGTTTTATTGTGTGAATTTAATAAAGCCAGTAGCTGTAATGGAACTGTGTAAATTCATTTTCGGGTGACAATACAGAGAATTTAAGATTTGATCAGCAATCAGTAATACAGGATAATGTATGTTTGTTGTTCATATGAATAACATGTAACACTTGTTACTTACCCACCTCTTTCATGATCTGGTGCAATCTCTAAAAAGCTCCTACAGTTAAACCCTATAAAGAGAAAAAGTTTTTGTAAACACTTGCTACTGGCTGAAAATGAGCATAAACAAAGGGATTCACATTCAATAAAAATGAACAACAATATTTACATTATTTAGTTAATTTATAAATAATAAACGCTAATGTTCAATGTTAATTCATGCTTGTTCATTATATGTAAACTAACGCTCCCTTTCATAGGTTCACTCAATGCTGCGTTAGTAGCCGATGCTATGGGAACACCCTCAGGTGTGACGGTTGTCTGAACCCCATATACAGAGAGAATTGCAGTTTGAGGATGCTGATGGAGGAGCATATCATAATGCAAATTTGGCTGTGAAATTGGTTTGTCACTATAGATCTGAAGGGTGTTTACTTTCATATTCAGATCAATCAGAGAAGTTTCTCAGGTTTGCTTTAAAGCTTACCAATTCTTCCTGCTTCCTTTCAGCCTAGCCTTAGCACCTTGTCCAATTACAAGGTGCATGGATCCATTGGCTCCATGTATGGCATTTGTGTGCAGACCTTCCTTTTCCATTGGCTAACTGTAGCACATTCTGGGGACTTGGTGTCAAGACTCTGTTTTTGATCATAATTTTGAAGTCTGGGGTTGGGGATGGATCCCTGGAGGAGTGTCCTACTGCAGAGCCAGCAGACAATGTTTTTTAGGGACAGTATTAGCCATAAACTTGATGCAGACATGGCTGACTCCTGCTTGTGTTCAGTCGTTTCGTACCTGTCTCTCTGAATATTTTCAGAACAGGACAGGATGTCAATGTGAGTCTGATTTGCAGATTTTTGGGCCAGCTGCTTCACCAGTGATTCGTCTGGGCCTGTTTTGGAGAAGAAACTCAGGGAGTTCATCCCTGCTGGCTTTCTCAGTGCGTGAGGGTCACATGCAGACGCTATCAGACCCTCATCATATGGACACAACGCAAGCTTGTGATTCGATGTGTTTCTCTAGGCAGAGTCTGTAAACGCGAGTCAAATCTCTCACTAGTAGGCATGAATGTGGTCTACTAATGCTTCCAAACCATCAAAGTTTGGATCGGTGGGCATATCTCATTGCAAATAAAGATGGAGATGGAGATGTTGGCATTGGTCTTTCACCTGGGCTGACGGTGACCATTTTTGATACAAGGGCTCCCTCCACTATGAGGTATTGTGCTCTCAAATGGAAGCTATTTGACTCTTGGTGTGGGAATGGCAACTTGCTGGTTTAGTGCTGGAGTTCTTCAAGGAGTGTTTTGTCTCCCAGTTTATGCGGGGGACAAGATGGTTGATACTCTTCTGGCATGTTTGTGTTCCATCCTGGGAACTATATGTGGTTTTAGAAGGGCTCTCTAGGTCTCGGTTTGAACTGTTGGAGTCAGCCCTGAGAGGTTTCTGACTCTCAAGTTGGTTCTGTTTATGGTTTTAACATTGCAAAAGTGTATCAGAAATGTGATTTCTCTCGTCTATGAGCCGCATAGTTTAACTTCATCTCTAAGTCTTAGAGCAGCAGGTTCCCATAGAGTGAACCTATGAAAGGAAACATCTTGTTTACATATGTAACTAGTTCACCGAATAAGTTCCCTGACACTGCATACTTTGTTATTGCTTTATTCCTTCATCAAAATCTGAGGAGAATAAATTTGAGTCTTTTCATATGGGCCTAGAAGTGTTCTCATAGTGTCAGCTACAGTCTGACATAGTGTCAAGTTAAATTTACAGATGTTAAGTTAAATGTAGGTTTTAGTATGTGCAGAAATCAACATAGAGCAAGATTAATACACTCTAAAAAATGCTGGGTTAAATACAACCCAGTGCTAGCCACAAAATGGTATTTAAACAGCATGGCTTGTTGGACATAGCAGGGGGACGGGTCTTTGCAAAGGATCAGCTGCTGCCTAGGACTTCGTATATGTCTGAGAGGTGGTCTTATTCAAATTGCTAGCTATCAACATAGAAACCAGCTGCAAATTGAAACAGCTCACTGCATGACACAGTTTCAGACTCAGACAGCCCATGACAAACTGGCTGCGCATTTTCTTTTCATCTGGCAGACACACCAGAAACCTAACTAAAAAGCTAAAAAAGTGAAAAATTCATTAGATGTCCCCTTTAAGAAATGCATTAGTATATGTACTGCACAAGTTAACATCAACAAAGTTTAACTAATGCTGCATATACACATCTTGTTCACTGTTAGTTAAAAGAATCGTTCACCCAAAAATGAAAAAAAAAAAGAATGAATTTCTTACTTCTCTTGAACAGAAAATTAGATATTCTGAAAAATGTGGGCAACCAAACAGTTTCTGGTCCCCTTTGACTTCCATAGTATTTTTTCCTACTGTTTGGTTACCCACATTCTTCGAAATATCTTCTTTTGTGTTCAACAGAAGAAAGAAACTCACACAGGTTTAGAACAAACTGAGGGTGAGTAAATTATGACAAAATTTTAATATTGGGTTAACTATCTCTTTAACTATTTCATTAACTGATGTTAACAAACACACATTAATTTCTCCTGAGTCCAGTCCCAGAGCTGGAAAATTAACTACTCTAAATGTTCTAGTACTGACTGAGTATTTGGCATTCGGAAGTCAAGTCTTTGATGGGATACTGTCTGTTGCCTTTTGACAAAAGAAACACTGTCCAAACATGCTTTCACTTTTACCAATCACAAGTGGAACCTTCTCCTACTATATTCTCCTAAATTACAACATCTTGTGCAGGCAGTCCAACCATGAGAAAGAGCCAGTGATGCCGTCTTACCTATTAAGTCCACGGTTTGTTCGCAGGAGAACCAGATTCCTGTGTGGAACTTCCTCATGAGGAACTTCTCCTCTCCGGTCTCGTAGATGTACTGCACCAGCCGCGTGTCATTGATGTTGGAGCTGTTAAAGTGGATGCAGTACGTCTGCTTGACTTTGACCGGCCCCATGCAGAAAGGCTTCACTACCTTCCTGGTCCCCTCACACCAGTAGTTAGTGGTGACGGCCGAGACCGCCAAGGCGAATGCCACATAGTTGAGTGTGAGAGCCAGGGATGCTCTCTGAGCACGCCGTATACCCATAGTGCTCCAGGAGGCACGAGGAGAGAAGCAATCCTGGCTTCGAGGACCTTGCTTCAGACATTCAAACGTTTTGCAATTGGTATCTTCAAGATTATTGGGTTTCGCTGATCTGTACTTTCTTCTCCTTGATAGACCAACTGGATGTGCGCAGAGATTTCACAAATGACAGCTGCTCTACTTCATACTCTAATGCTATCAGGCTCTTATGTTTCGCTCTAACTAACCTTACGGTCCCCCTCCCAACCCATGATTCCCCTCCCCCCGTCCTTTTCACTGTTATCAATTCAAAGGGCAAATTACATGTGAGACCTTGGTTTTGTTCGTCCATCTAAACCAGTAGCTTATTTTTGTGAGCATAGCAATAAAATAGATTATCAATCAGATTATTCTTCAATCTGATGCAGGGTTGTTTGCCAGCGTCTCTGTGGAAACTTCCCCCATCTTTCAAGACTGCCTTTCAATGAACGGCAACAGATTTTTGAACAATGATTTACAGTAAAAAAGATAAAGATGAACCTGTACCATCTTTGATGCTGTGAAGAAGCTCTTGCATCTGTTTGTGCATGCAAGAACTGTTGCATTGCACACACACACACACACACACACACAGCTTATATATATGTGTGCGTGTGTGTGTGTGTTTGCACACAAAGCAAATCCTGTCCTATTTGACAGCTGGATAATCGATGCAGGATATTTCATACATATATAGGGAAACAGCTGTGGGAAATATGTTTAGGGGCTGACAGATGTCAGCATAAATGGACCCTAGACCAAGCCCTCAAGGGCTTATGTAATACATTTTAATTTAACATTTATTATTCAAGAATGTACAAACTATCCAGAGGAGAATAAAGAGATCAGCATTGCATTTTTATTAAATGCTTAGATATTTGTTGTTATTTACTCACCTTCATGTCTTCTGTGGAACACAAAATGAGATATTTAGCAAAATGTCCATGCAAAATATCATACAATGAAATTCCAATAAGACTTTAGTTTAGGAAACACATATTTACTATTAACTAAGAGTTATTAACTAAGAGTCAATAAACTCCCAATTTGCTGCTTATTAATAGTTAGTACGGTAGTTATTAGTTTAGGTATTGGGAAGGATGAAGATACATGTATCTAAAATATGGTCATACAGAATAAGGCATTAATATGCACTTTATAAGTAGTAATAAACAGCCAATATTCTAGTAATACGCATGCTAACAAGTAACTATAGTTAATAGTGAGAATTGGTCCTTAAAATAAAGTGTTACTGAAATGACTTTTATGTAAAGATTTTGTTTTACTCTACTCCCAGAGCCAGATTTTTCATCTTAAACTTAACAAACTATGAAAATCCATCAGAAAAATGTGAATTATAAAATAGTAAAAGTGTGATAATTGGAAATAAACCAATTCAATGTTAAATATCAATGTATTCAGCTATCCCACATTTGTGGCATTATTTATATAAATTCTTTTGAAAATGAATGTACTTGTTTATCAAGGAGACAACAATGTCTGTAAACAGCTTAAGATGAAATATGAGCTGTGAATAAACATCAAAGTAAATATCATCTAAGCAGAATACGTTTGGTTATCATTTCAAGTTAAGCTGTAATTTTGCCAAAAGTGTAAGAATTCACATTTAATACGGCTTTGAGCTTTGCTCACCCATTTTTTTGCTTGCACTACATAGCCCGTAGTAGATGAACAAATCTATATGTTACAGTGATTGAGATATTATAGGTACAGCAGAGTATTTTTATTTATTTATAAATTTTTTGTAAATAAAAAAAAAGAGTTCTGGCATGAAACTCTAGATGGCGCAGTCCGATAGGTCTAACTCAATCTGACCTAATGACATCATTATCACTACTTTTTATTCTGTTCCTCACAAAAAGCTATCGTACGATTTCTGAAAACTTGGAATATAGTTGCAATGTTGCAAGGCTGCATTGTTCTTTGGTAGTGGCGCTTTTTGTAATTTCAGAGCTTGACAGCACTTAATGTTCATTCACTCCTGAACAAAAGCAGCATGAACATTCTGCTGAATGTTTGCTTTTATGTTCCAAAGAAGTCATGTAGGTGAGTAAATGACAGCAGAAATTTCATTTTTTAAACAATACAATACAGTAGGCTATAATAATTAAATTTAGGATTTTTTCCCCCAATGCCATTTCATATGAACAGGTGACAAGGATGCATCCTACTAGAGGATAAAGGTTGGAAATATAGGGGGGAAAAAAGGAAATTACTTTTTTGTATTTCTCCGAGGTGCCGTTGAACAGGAAATGTCAGGACTGGATTAAGGCTCATAATATCAAAGAACAGTGGTGGATGTTTATGTAATATGGAATCCAGAGGTTTATCTGTTTCTGGATATTTCATGCTTTGTCACAGAGATATTCATTTTACAGAATGTAATATTTTATTACTTCTACCTAGGCAGATTTGCTTTTTTTTTTTTTTTTTTAATCAGGCCACCTCTACAAAGTGTTTCCGGAAATCCATAATAATAATAATAATAATAATAATAATAATAATAATAAATCACATTAAAATATACAAACTGAGTGTAATATACACATTAAATCACATTAAAATATACAAATTAAATGTAATATAAAAAAATTAATGTATGTAATATACACATTAAAATACACAAACATATATTAAAAAAAAACACACAGGCGACAGATCCACAAACATCTTTTAAAAGGAGTTTCAGATGCAATGACGATTATCTGACATTTGATGAGGACTATGACCTTATAGGACATACTTAAACTTTATATACAAACAACTCACTACATTCATTGCCATACAAAATATGGTACAGGCTGAAACTTTGCCCTCGCCTTATTACATGTATTAGATGCATAAGGTGCATTGCATTGAATTTTTGCAAGGATTTTAATTTTGACTTTAAAATGACATGCTCATTAAAGAACAAAATGTGCAAAACAACCAAATATAATTATCAAAGTAATAAGACATTTATAAAGTAGAATTAAAGCAAACTGTTGCTGAGTCAAACACCACAGCAGATTTGGTTTCATTTTTATATGTCCAAACTATTTTTGCGATGAGCCAGTTTAATTCTTACTGTACGTTGCACTTCATGCATTCATTTCAGAACTAATCCTTCAATATCTGTGCATGAGGTTGAATGTCAAAGTGCATGAGCAGAGATTGCAATCAGGACCACGCTGCCCACTTGATTGCGGTTTTGCTGTAACTTCCTGGAAAAGGGAAGCTAAAGCATAAAACTGCTTTATGTAATCCTTACCTGCATATCCTCCCATGCTAAACTTAATTGCTTTTGTGTTGTTTCTTCTACACTGTAAAAGACAATGTAAGTGTTGGCAACATGGTGAAGAAACATTACGTTTTTATCCATTTGTTTGTAAAACAAACAAATAACTAATTAAATAGGCACTGCCTGTAAAACATGTAAAATGTTTCTGTAGTAATTTTGAAATTACAATGTCAGCATTAGATAATCCTGTTAAATGGCTGAATACAACTGATTACATAAATCAGATTTGACCTCTCTCAAGCCAAGCCGCAGAGCTCATATGAAAAAGAAAAACGGTTATCCCTTAATAATCAAAAACTCAAAGGACACCTATCTTCATACTATTTTGCAGGCTTTGGCTGGCTACTTGACTGGTGATAAATAATATGTTTATTAGATGAGACTGTGTGGCCTAGATTTGACCAGTCCAGGTCCAGGCAGTGCATCAGTCATGGGGATGTGCTTGGCGTCAGACATAAGCCCAGTTTCCTAACCCACTGACGCCACGGCAGTTTAACCAGGTAAGATGTGTTAAGGAGGTGGGTATTAGATCTGCCTGACATGATATGATGAAATAATCCCTCTGCATGCGAGCGAGCTCACCACTACTGGCACCAGGACAAACACAATCAGAAGGTCATTGCCTGTTTTATCTACTGTCTATATATAAAGAATGATATTGCCATATGTTAAGGCAATATACAATGTTCACATATGTTCATTATCTGAGTAGATAACAAAATAAGTTTATAACATGCATAAAATCCCCACATTAATAAAATCTATATGATGATTTTTATATGGTATTATATGTCAACATATACACAAACATCTGTATGTGTAATCTCTTTTTCATAATTTGTAATTATTTAAATACATGTCTATCTTTTGTATTTACTTGTATAATATCAGCATGTATTGATAGGTTTTAGGCTAGGTATACATGTAGGCCTACATAACATATATGTCCAAAATATATATATGTTAATATATACCAATTTCCAATAGGTTTAATATATGTTTGTACTTCACATGACAATATAATGTATTTCATACATACATTACATTAGTTTATGGGATTCAGGGTTGCTGCTATTTTGCACTTTCAGCATTGCTTTTTATTGTTGGTGCAATACTGACTCAACATATGTTATGATTTTGCGCTCAACTTGCTTATTTGAATGATGGCAACAGGAATGTGCAATGGTTAGGAATCCGGTGTTAGGAATACATTGTTTTGGCAATTCCATGTAGTGCAGTACTGTTGCAAAATGCAGAAAAAAAGAGTGAAAAATGGTCAGAAAATTTTTTTAATTATTCAGAAAAAAACCCATTAAGGCTAATGCTAATGGTCCTGAATAAAAAGCTAAGAACCAAAGCACAGCAAACACTATCACTAAGATCAGTTTCCCTTTTTTGGCTGGCAGATCTATCGTCAGTCATAAGCTGGTTAACAGAGCAGTACTGACCTCCAATGACTTGAGGCAACACAAATAGACGATGTGTGCTAATGAGTTCAGAGCTGTCAGTAGCTCAGGCTGTTCACCAAACAAACCAAAGCACAACAACCCTAACACACAAACCACAATAAACCCCATCAAATGAAAAAAAAAAGTAACTAATTGACATGACACTTTAGGACAGGGTTGCAAAATCCAATATGCCTGTCTATCATAAATATAGAAAAGTCATGCCACTGATACTA